TGGGGTCAAAATGAGACCAGTGAAGGACCTCTAAGCAAAGGGACAAATGGGCTACACAAAGTACAGAGGGGAGAGGGGTGGAGAGGGAGCCGTGGGTGAGCTCACCCACTTGCTCAAAGGGGAATGGTTAACACGGAGGAGGCAGCAGAAGTCGAACACAAGGGCCAAGGGCTGGAGTGGCGTCCTGAGATTCGGCATGCAGGACAGACTGAGGACAGAACACTTCAAAGTAAGCTATTTGTTGACCCTCTTTTAGTAAAATTTATTGCATTCTTTGGTTAAAGAAAAATATTAGTCCTTTACTCCATCTTGCCACAGGACCCCTGTAACCAGCCTTGTCTGTCATGGGCCAGACCCAGGAGTGTGGGTGTGCACTCCACCTAAGGCAGGAGATGTTCATACCTTTGGTGTAGTTACTATTGTTACTCCCATTCATCATATGATGACATGGAGACCCAGGAATTTAAATTATTTGCCAGAGATTGCACAGCTGGCCAGAGGCAAAGGGAGAACTCAAACATGGAGCTGCCTCTACTGCTTCCCTTAGGGTCTGATACTGTGTGGGGGACAGTCCACATGAGACTGAGTAGAAAACAGTCCTTGCCCTGAGGGAATTCCCGCTCCACCTGGCAGTCTGCCAACAATTGTTGCGCGTGGGTCACCGGCTAGCAGTGACCACGGAACGCTGTGGATGGCTCGACGATAAACACGCGAGAAAAAACATGCACAGAGACAAACTAATTTCTGTGGAGAAGTAGGGACGAAATGGCCACCCCTTCTAGTGAGGAGCGCGCCGATTTACAGTCCATACCTGCTTTTATTGGGCTCATGCTACATAATAACTCAGGTAACGTACAATACTCATTAGGGGAAGTAAGGAATATAGAAAACAAAGAACCCTACCGGTCTATTGAGTTGGGGGTCAAAGAGCTGTAAGGCTGAGGAACAAACTAGCTTCCTCCTAAGACCCTCCTCATTCAACTGAGAGCATTCTTGAACAAAGAAGGTTTCACAGTAATTTACATGTTCTTTCTTAGGCCTGATCACCCCGGGAAATCCGCACTTCTCAGTACCGAGCTGCAACACCCTGTCATTGTTTCAGGCTTAGGTGGAGCGCGGGAACTAAGGCCACCGAGAGATAAGGAGATTTTCTTCCGGACACTGAGAACTCAGACTTTGTCAAAGCCGAGGAGTGAGGGTCCATCACCCCCTTTTTGCTGCAGCCCCCCCCCCAAGTCCTTCTTTTTGGGGGGCCTCCCAAAAGTGATCGTGCCTGGCTTGGGTTGTTCCCCCCGTGGGGAATATTACCCGTCTTTGGCTAACCGACCAAGCTTTTTGGGGTTCAGCAGCAGAAACAGCATTCCTGCCAGGAAGATAAGCTTTTGTCTCCTTGCCGGCTCACGGTTCCAAGGGCGTTCCCTTAGCCTTAGCCTAGGCGGGGGTTTCAGTTTCTGATACCAGTCAGGGCGGTTCCCAACAAACAATAACTACAGATAAATGATGCAAGGAAGCAGGAGGAAAAAACCATCTAATAGGCAGCAGTTCGTGGTCTCTCGTGGTCTGCGAGGCAAAGTCTCAGGGAAGTCATCCTCCACGCCTCCTTCTTAACCCATCCGTCAGGGTTTAATTGGGAGCCCGTGATTTCTGACAAGTTTGAAATTTCTTGGCTCATTTACTTCGGACACTGCAACAGCTAGTCACTGAGTGTTTCATGTGCAAAGCACTGGGCTCCATCTTTTTCCAAGGTGTTGCCAAATGGATCAAGAACAGTCCTGGCCTTTAGGAAGCTTACAGTTTGGGAAGAAAAAAAAGAAATATAAAAAATTATTGCCCTGGCTGGCGTAGCTCAGTGGATTGAGCACGGGCTATGAACCAAAGTGTTGCAGGTTCAATTTCCAGTCAGGGCACATGCCTGGGTTGCAGGCCACAGACCCCAGCAACCGCACATTGATGTTTCTCTCTCTCTTTCTCCCTCCCTTCCCTCTCTAAAAATAAATAAATAAAAATATGTAAAAAATATTATAATAAAGGAGTAAAAATTATAGCCTAGCAAACTGGCTGAGAATAAATCAAAGCTGAAACACAGGAAGAACACCAAGCTACTTTATGACCTTTGGTCTCCATTGTAGGTTGTATCACTCATTTACTCATTACAGATTATTTACTGAGTCTTTACTACAAACCACATGCCACGTTAGGTTCTGGCAGTTCAACAAGGAACAAGACACAGCTTTTGCCCTGGCGGGGGTGGGGGGTCCCTACAGACAAGGCATCATCAGGAAAGTGGGATGGAGAAGGTGATATCACCCATAAGGGAGTGAAATCTATTCTTGGGAGGGTGAGAAAAAAAATCTTACTGAAGAAAGGGTTGATAGAAAAAACAAAATGAATGTAAGAAGTAGCTAGAATCAATAGGACTTGATGATGGATTGCATAAAGCTGGGGAAGTAAGGAAAGGAATTTATTTCATGTGGAGATGCAATGTTGGGATTTATAAGAAATAGATATTTGATCATTCAGATGACCAAAATATATTTTTCATATATATTTGGTCTCTGTCCACAGTTCCTGGCTCTCAGCTCCCCAAACTTTTGAATTTCCTGAGGGTTTAGGACGATCAAGGACCTTTGGCTGTGTGCCTGAGGTGACTCTTGGAAGCGCCTGTGCATGGGGGTTGGGAGAGCTTCCAGACTGGTGACCACACAGAGATGTGGCGGGAGTGGTGAGCCTGGAGAGGGCATAGACGCGCCGCACCCCTTCCTACATATCTTGCCCTATGCATCTCGTTTATCTAGCTGTTCTTGAGTCATAGCCTTTGTAATAAATCAGTGATTTAGTGAGCAAACAGGTATTCCTATTCTAGCAAATTAATTGAACCCAAGGAGGGAGTCATTGGAACCTCCCACCTACATCTGCTTGGTCAGGGACACGCATGAGTGTCTGGGCTGTGGCCAGCATCTGAAATGTGTATGTGGTGGGGGTGGGGGGGTGGAATCCTGTAGACAGAGCCCTTAACATGTGGAGTGGAGTGTTATCTATGGGTAGATAGCCTCAGAACTGAGTTGAATTTTTGGACACCCTGCTGGTGTCTGAGAATTGCATTGGAGGAACCCCATACACATGCACTTTGGAATTGTGTCCGGGAGCCCAACTGAGGACGGGAGATAAAGGAAGCCAGCAGGGATGACACGCAGTCTGTTGATGACACCAGGGTGACTGAATTCATGAAAGGAAGTCCAAACACTAAAAGGTTGTGTTTTGAGCTGTCAAATGATTCCAGTTTTGAACTGTGGCTGGATTCAGAGATGCGGAACTCAAGAGGAAGAGATCTGAACTGGAGAGTTGGGAATCATGTGAATGCACGGCACAGAGACAGCCAGAAGAGTTGACGGAGCGCCCAGGGAGAGAACGGAGTGAGTAGAGGTCTGAGGCCAAAATCCTAAGAACAGAAAGTGAGGATGTTTGGTGTGGTTATTAAACAGCATTCTGAATTTGAAAGGTACCACCAGTTTTCAGATTCTGGGTCACACAGGCCCATTTGTGTGACCTCAGAACCTAGGAAGTTTGCTACAGTCTCCGCCTTTTGGGAGAGTTGCTATGTCGTGTTCACTGCCGCACCTCGGTGTCTCCCTGCGTAGGGGCCTCTAGTAGGGACAGCCCTAATTGTTGGCATGACTTCCAGGTGTCCAGTACGTGGCACTCACCTCTGAGGAAGTTACACAGAGGTGCCCAAAAGCATACTGAGTACCCTTTGAGCAACAGGAGACCCTGTGATGGGGTGAGACCACTGGAGAGCCAGTGTCTGAGGGGCCACTTGATGAGCACAGGACCAGTGGTGCTGACCCAACAGGGGATCCACCTGTCGCTTTCACCAGCTCAATTGCATTCCCTCTGGGAGGAAGTGTAACGGTGCAGTGGTTAAGGCCCAGGTGCTAGGCAAACTGAAAATGTTCGTCCTAGCTCTTGCACATCAGCTATTTGACCTCTAGAAAGTTACTTAATTTCTCTGAGCTTTAGATTGTTCATCTATCAAATGGAGAAAATAATAGCATCCCAAATCACAGGGAAGTTGAGGTTTAAGTGAGAGGACCCAGATAAACCCCAGTGCCTGGCAGAGAGGAAGCATTCTGTTAGCTACAAGGGCCGAGAGTCAGCTGCAGCTACTCCTCCTCAGGCCGTCCTGCACTGCCAGCTGTACCATAACGGAGGTCTGTTTCTCCCTTGCAGTGGGCACAGTGTTAAGCTTCGCCATTAGAGAGTTATTACAGGAGAAGGGATTTCTTGCCCCAAATCCAGTGTGATGCTATTTCTGACTCTTGCTCCTGCTGCACGGCTGTCAGCAGCACGTGTCAGGGTATCCAGTGGTTCTCTCCCCAGCAGCACGGCCAGGGTGCAGTCTCCCATCAAGCTTGTAGCCTCGATGAGCCACTTAACACGGCCCTCCCGACATGGACAGGGCCTCCCAGACCCCACAGCACCCTGCCTACAACTTGGTTTCCAATGCCCCAACTCCTGCACTTGCCACCACCCCAGCCTGTCTGCACTCCCCAGGCTCCAAACGGCCCTCTGGATGAGCAGGACCCCAATACCCCAACTTCCTCTGCAAGCCTGCTGCCTGCCCATGTCAGTACACCCACCGGGGGTAGCCTCTACTGGCCCGGCAAATGCAGACTAGCTCTAGTCTGGGCAACACAGGAACATACGTCTTTGCTGTCCCGTGGACATCTCTGGTGAGCTCTGCATTTAACATTTTCCTCTTCTTCCACCCTGGTGCTCGGTGCTCTTTTCAGTCATGCACTGTGCGTGCCGGCATTCACTCCATATGTCATTACTGGGCAGATAGTTACTCTTCTGAAGTTGCTTGGCAACAATTATTCAACATTCAGATCTTACTAGTTTTTGCGGTGAGATGATTTGGAACCCTGAAAAGGGTGTACTATTTCAGATACCTAACACTGAACTCTTATTTCTTTGCTAAAATAGCACAAGTTCATCTTAAATTTGTATAACAATAAGACATTTATTTAAGCCCGTAATTGCCAACTGACACCAGCATTTCTGTATATTTCTGTCAGACTTAGATATACACAGAACACAAAATTAGCAGAAAGAAGTACATTTGTGTTGCAAATTCACTCATCTTGGGGGTCAAGATGCATGTCTTGATCAAATAAATTCTGAAAAGGAAAGGATGAAACATAGTTAGACTAGATAAACTTCTTCAATTTTGTATGAATCTAACAGACATCACCACAGTCCTCTAGTCTTTCCTTTAGCAGGTGTCTTACCAAGAAGCCAGAGGGAAAAGGCAAGTCACTCAGTGTTGCACACGGCAAAACCACTTTTCTTTCAAACAAACGTATCAGCATAAGATGGTGCCAAGGTCTAGAAAGAAAAGTGTTACATGGTGTTATAAAAATAAAGCAACAAGTGCAAACACCAATGTGACCATTCTCTTTATTTTCCCTCTCAAACAGGTGTTCAATATGTTCTTATGTTACATATTGAACGAGTTCATGAAATGTTATGAATAGACAGAAATTGTGGAGAATTGGATTGTGCTAAAAGAGTGGAGCTAATTATGCTAAATGAAAAAGGAAAGCTGTGGTTCATCCTTAATTGGAGTAAAATATTTTTCTACTTTAGTGGACACTCAGTATTGTAATTTTAAAAATCCAACATCATACTCAATAAATACTCTTCTTTAATACGGCTCAATATGCCATGGAGGGGAGGGTTGTCAAGAATAACAAACATCCATGTACATGCCACCCAAAGTATAGAACACTGCCACCCAGCCCCCTAGAAGACCCCCAAGTGCCCATTCCCCATCACAACCTTATTCACTCCCCAGAGGGTAACCATCCCCCATTTTTGTGACTGTTGTTTCCTTGGTTTTCTTTATGGTTTTACCCCTAATATCTGCATCCCTCTCAATATGGTTTGATTTTGTGTATTTTTGAACTTGGTACAAATGGATTCATACTGTATTTGTAGTTGACTTCTTTCTTTCAATCAGTACTGTAGTTATGAAAAGCCACAGATCACTCAGTTTTACTGCTACAGGACTCACCATAACTTATCTGCTCTGTGTTCCTGGTTTAGAGCTGCTACAGTAATTCTTATATGAACATTCTTGCATCTTAATTCTCCACAAGTACACAAGATCATCTAGTGAACATATGAAGGAGTAATTTTGTGGGCTGTGAATGTTAATAACAATAACAGCAATAACAATGATAATAACATGTACTTTATAGTGTTTATTGAGTTCCACGTACGGCTCTGAGCACTTCACATGGATTAATTCAATCCTCACAAAAATCCTTTGAGGGCAAACATTGCTTCTTGGGAAGGGGGGCGTGGACTAAATCATTTTTTTTAAATCTATATAGTGACATGCTCGAGGTCATAGAATCAAAAAGATGGTATTCAAGTCCATGTCCAGCAGGTCCATGAATAACTGTTTCATTCAATGTTGTTTTGTCCCATAGAAACTTAACTTTTATTTTTATTGATTAGCCTATGATAAAGTTGGTTTCATTTATACTTTGTTTTGCTTAGTCACAGAACCTATTAATCATGTTAAGTAATCTGTAGTTGGCAGCAGAATTTGTACTCAATTACCACATCATAATGCAATAGTATTTATAGAATATAAACATCTTCAAATATATCAGACAATGTCAAACTATTTTCTCAAAAGGTGTGCTAATGTATACTCCCACTAGCAGGATAGGCAGTTTCCATGACTTCTTATCTTTGTCAACACTTGTTATTGTCACCTTATTTTAGTCAATCTGGATGTTGTGCAATGTGGTCTCATTGTGATTTGTATTTGTGTTTCTCTCTTGAAAATGAGACAAAGTATTTTTTTAGTGTTTACTGACCAAGTGGATTTCCTTATTTGTGAATTTCTTGTTGAATTGGATTTTACATCTTACTCACTGACATACAGGAGTTCTTTAGATGTTCGGAATACAGTTAGCCCTTCATATCTGTGTGTTCCAGATCTGCAGATTCAACCAACTGCAGAGCAAAAATATCAGGGGAAGAAAGTTATGTTGTTGCTAATGTGTACTGTGTAGTTACGCCTACAGTGGTTGTGTCTGTACTGAACATGTACACTTTTATTCTTGTCATTCTCTAAACAATATAAACACTTATATGATGTATATTAGGTATTATCTAGAGATTACTTAATATGAGATGTGTTTAGATTATATGCAAATACTATGCAATTTTATGCAAGGGACTTGGGCATCCATGAACTTGGGTATCCACAGGGGCTTCTGGAATCAACTGCCACAGGTAAGGAGGGGTGGCTCTTAACTTAGGATTTTGCATCTGTGTTACTAAGTGAAATTGGCCTGTAGTTTTCCTTTCACATATTATCATTTGGTATCAGGTGTTTGCTGGTCTCATAAAATGAATTAGGGAGTATCCTTCTTTTTCTATTCACTGGAAGGGCTTACATTTGGAATTACTTATTTCTTGAATATTTGGCAGTACTCACCAAAGTTGTTTTGCCTGGAATTTTCTTTCCAGGAGTATTGATTCAATTAACTTAATGGCTATAGAACCATTCTTTTGTTTATTTTGGTAAGCTATATATTTATAAAAATGTGTCCATTTCTTATACATGTTACAAATCTATCAGCTCTAGGCTCTAGATTGTTCGTGGTATCACATCCACCGCAGGAACATAAGCAGCTCTGCCCCTTTTCCACTCCTCTTTTCCTTGGTTAACTTGGCCAGATGTTTGTCACTGTGAAGACTTTTTCCAAGAATAAACTTTTGATTTTTTTATTACTTTCTGTTCTAATCTTTATTTCCTTCTATTTCCTTTAAGGTTATTTTATGCTGTTCTTCTATTGAGATAGATGCTTTTCTTATTAATATGCAGCCTTTCTGCTACACACATTTTGGGCTATCCATTTCCTCCAACTACTGTTTTGGCTACAATCCATTAATTTTATTATTTCACTGTGTTCAGTTCCATCTATATTCTAGGACGAGTTAGCACTTCTTATAGATTCACGGGTTACTTGTGTTTCTTGACCGACACATGTGTTATTTGGAACTGTGTTACCTTCCTGAAATACGGGGCTGCTTAATCACTCATTTCCACAGCAACAATCCACAGAGACCCTCCCAGTGAACTGAACCTTTCATTACGTGGAGTTTCTTTCTTTGGTTCTAATGATATTTCTGCCTTAACAATTTTCTTTAGCTATTAATATACCTAAGTCAGTTGACTTTTGGTTGGTATAACTTTTGCCATCATTTCCCTTTCAGACTTGTTGAGTCATACACTAGAAATCACATTTACATGTAATCAGTTTCTTCCTTCTCAGACCATCCGCACTTAGAGCAGTTACTCCAATCACTGCCCTACCAACTTACATAATTCTTGTTTATTTTAAAACCTCTCACTTGTTTAAGCCCATGAAACATAATTATTGTTCTATATAGTAAGTGTCCCTTTAGATTAATCGATATGTACAAGCATCTTGGTTCTCTCTTTCATCACTTTCCACTAAATCCAGCACATCCTTTGGAATTTCCTTTAGTAAGAACCTGCAGGTGGCAACCTGCTCATGTTTATTGCCTGAAACTGTCTTTAGTCCACCGTCATTCTTGAAATATATTTGGTAAGTACAGAACTTGAAGTTGGAAGTCATTTTCTTCCCACGTATTAGAGACAGCCATTCAGCTGGCTGTTGAGAAGCCAGCTAAAGAAAAGTCTAGCTGAGACTGCTTTTGGAAGGGTAGGTGTGGCTTTTGTTTTGGCTGCTTTTATAAGTTTTTGTCTTTATCATTCTACTGTTTCACGAAGATTCTGTTTGGGATAAATGCGTAGATTGGTATTTTTTACCGATTTGAAAAAATCTCAGCAATTACTTCAAATATTGCTTCTGCCCCATTATCTATTAGAAACTACTATTGGGTACATATTAGACCCCTTTGCTTCATCCTCCACTCTTTCTTATTTCTCAGGCTCCTTTTCTATGCTACATCCATTCTGGATAATTTCTCTTGTCCCAGTTTCCAGTCATTAATTCTCTTTTCAGGGCCATCCACTCTTCTGTTAAACCTGCCCATTGACTTAGTCATTCTATTGTCCATTTCTAGAACTTCTCTTTGGTTGTTTTTTCATATGCTTTGTTTCCTGTAGATATCTTCAAACTTGACTTCTATATTTAAAGAAAACAATTGTTTTATATTATGTATGTGCTAATTCTAAAGTTGTTTTCTGGTGGTCTTTGCTGCCTTTCATTTATGATGCCAGTCAGAGTCTATTAAACATGAGGCATCCGTGTCCTAGGGAGATTATTTGTGACCCTAGCGTCCTCCAAAGCTTGTTCACATGGCAGGCAGCTGGGTAAGTTTCCCAAGTGCAGGTGTAAGTGTACAAGACTCTGAAGCTTAGTCCCCCTATTTTGCATAATGTCACCACCCACATTCTTTTGAGCAAATCAAAAAACAAGGCCAGTACATGTTTGAAGAATTGGAAAATGGATAGAATTCTTGATGGAAGGAACTGTGAATTCATATTGCAAAAGAGCATGAGCACCAGGGGTGGTAGAGAACTATGGCCATTTTGCAAAGCACCAACCTCATGGAGTTGCTGGAAATGCCGAATAATGAGGAGACCTCTAGGGAAATGGTGAGATCTAGGCTGAATTATAGAATTCTGAACTGGTGAACTGGGTATATGTTAATATTATGCACTCACTGAAAAGGGGAGAAAAGTAAGTTTGATTATAAATGAACCAGAAAATCCAAACAGAATTTCAAACAGAGATCTGAAGTTCAGAAGTGAGATTTTGGTTCGTTTTATAGATGAAGAGTATAGCTAATATTTGCAGCAATGGATGTGCAAAGTAAGATTCCTAGAGATGAAATCCCAGAGAACATCAGAATTTTTAAAAACAGGAAATAGAAAAATTATAACCTAAAGGAGAGTTAGGCAGTACACAAACCAAGTAGGAGTGGTTTAAAAGCAGTAAAGAATAGTTAATGCTATCAAACCTCACAGGAACAAATACAAATCAATTTTTAAAGAGCTGACATATGCTGTATACCTTAAACACATGCAGTGATGTGTCAATTATTTTTCAATAAAATTGGGGGTGAAAAGCCTGATGATATAAATGTAGTTGCCCCTGAAAAATGATCACTTCAAAGATCTCAAGGTAACATGAAATAAAAATAATCTCAAGGTAACATGAAATAAAAATATAAGTTGTTTTAGTTTGTAATTTTTTAAAATTCATAAATATTTTAGGATGTGAATGGAATTACCATTCAATTTTTTTCATCTTATCTCCCCAAACAGTCAATAAATGAGATTCTCAAGATAACTACAGATTATTTTAAGGGGTCATCAGTTATTAACAAATACTGTAGAAATGCATTATATGTTGTATAACCTATTACACAAATGACAGAGTAATACTAAACCTGAAAGCTTCTTTTTAACCTTTCATTATAAATAAACAATGACTCAGGGAGAAGGGACATTTCAAAGCACATGTATTATGAAAGTAGAAATGATTAAACTTTCAGGATGATAGTGTAATTAAAAATCTTTTGAAAATTTCACATCTATATTATCATGATATACTTATCTGATGATGCTAAAAACACAAGGCTAATACTTGAACAAGGATAGCATTAAAAACAAATTTATATATAAAAATATTCTGGCAAAATTCCACAGGTTTTTCTTGTTTGGAGATATTCTTCCTTATTTAGTCCAAAAATCAAATCCCATCCAGCAAGTACTGTTACTTACCTCAATAATGTAAAGTTCTGTCCACTGGTGAACTTCATCTATACGTTACAGAGAACATTCATAACACCCTCAAATAACAAAATGTAATTCATTAACACCAGGTACTCTCAAAGTCCAAGAGCTGAAGAAATAAATTTTAAAAACCAATGATAGTTAAAATAAGGGGTTCTGAACTTCAACTGCTTTGTGAAGCTTTATTGTACAGACTAAAATTCCGGTTTTCTAGACTCAGAGATACTGAACTGCCTGTTGGGTTTAGTGGCCTCCTGCATCAGCTCCTGCAGCTGTCCTATTTGTTCATCCCGAAAGTCATTAAGTTTTTCTTCTGGCAGGGCGATCCCAAAGCATGGTTTCTCGGTTGAGTTTTGTCTGTTTTCCTTAGATTGTTGCCATAGCACTGCTGCATACGCCTAGTAAAAAGAGAGAAAAATGAAGATTACAGATATAAAATTAAATTAAGATCTGTATTCACTCATTTAATGTTGGAGGACTTGAACAGTTCTACTTCCAAGTACCTATTTTTCTCCATTATGAGTCCTCTGCCTTCGACGAAACAGATACAAATGATACTATAGCCATGTCTTTGCTAGTCAGTGATAACTTCAGTATCTTATTTTTTTGCATTGTAATAGACTTTTAGAAAAGGCCTTAACCTAGAAAGCTGGGCAGGGAGTGAGAGTGGTCCACAGGCGGGCTTCAGGAGTGTGTGTGAAGCAACCAGAAATCAGACCCGAATTGTATGCACACAAGCAGGGCGCTGTTCTGGGGCCGTGGATGCCGTGAGATTTTAAAAGCGGTCACCAGGATTCTGATAGGTTTAAAAGTGGGTCTCAAAATGTACTAAGTTCACCTGTGTCTTCGATTTAAAAACTAATTTAAATCACACTAGAGGAAAAAAGAAACTTTGCAACATTAAACCTTCATATTTAACAACCATCTTGGTCAGGGAAAAATTCTAGCCCTGGCTGAGGGGTGCAGCTGGTTGGAGCATCGACCCCGAAAGGCTGTGGGTTTGACTCCTGGCCGGGGTGCGTGCGGGAGGCAGCTGACTGGTGTTCTCTCACGTCGACGTTTTCCTCTCTCTAAAATCAATAAATGTATCTTTGGGTGAGGATTTTTAAAAATTCTACACTTCTCATTCTATAATTTTTCTCTCATTCTGTCAGTATCTTCAGCCTAATATTCCAACTTATCATTGCCTTAAGTGACACTTTTTTGAAGCAGATTCTCACTCAGAATTAGTCTTTTAATCAGGCAGAAAGTACCAATGTATTTCAATTCATGAAGTTAAAAGACTATATGGTTAAGTGAATGAGTTCATTAACTCTAGATAATGTTATTCTATGTAGGTTAAGATAATTAAATTGCTTAAAACTGCCAGCATCACCAAAGAAACTTTAGTTCCAGACAGTCCAAACCTTTACTTGTATTGGAAATATTTTCATGATTTACAGAAATCCATTCCATATAACACCCCCCCCCAAAAAAAAACACCCCAAAACCCTGCTCACACCTTAAGTTTTATGACTCCCACTTCTAAATGCATGCCCCGGAGGTTTCTCAGCCTTGGCACTATTAACAAATTGGACACTTTGTGGTGGGAGTCTGTTGCATTATAGGATGTTTCATGGCATCTCTTGGCTTGTCTCTATCCACTAGATGCCTGTGGCATCCCTCCCCCTCAGTCTGGATAATCAAAGATGTCTCCAAACATTGCCAAGTGATCCTTGTCAGCCAAAACTGTCCTGAGCTGAAAACTATTGTCTTAAAGAACCTTTCAGACATATAAACAAGTAGCATGCACAAGAATGTTCATTGTGGCATTGCTTGTTAAAGCAAAAAAAATTGAAAACTGTCTAGTCTCAATCGGAGAAAGGACCATTACACTGGGGTTTAATCAGATATTTAATTATAATCCATTAATAGTCAATGAACTAAATGTCTGTGGACAGGGATGAAGCTCCAAAGCAAACAGAATCCAAAAAGTAGGTTTTGCCAAAGTTATTCATTTGTAGAAATGGGAAAACCAATACTTACATTCATATGGAATTTTGAGAGGCCCTAAATAGCCAAAACAACCTTGAAAAAGAACAAAGTTGGAGCATGCACAGTGCCTACTTTCAAAACTTACCAAAAAAAATACTATAAGTAATCAAAAACAGAGAAACACATAGACAAATGGAATAGAATGGAGAGTCCAGAAATGAACCCTTACACACAGACCAGCTGATGTGCCACATGGATGTCAGGCCAGCTTGACGAGGTAAGAACAGCCCCCCCACAGACAGGGCTGGGCAGCTGCGTTTCCATGTGCAGAGAGAGAAACTGGAGCCCTCCCTCCCATGGCAGACAAAAATTAACACTAAATGGATGGAAGACCTAAAACCATAGAATGCCTAAAAGAAAAGAAGAGTAAATCTTGGGGACCTTGGATTTAACAACAGATTCTTAGATATGACACTAAAAGCTTGAGCAGTGAAAGAAAAGCTAAACTGGGATTCTTCAAAATTTAAAAACTTTTGTGTAACAGAGGACACTATTAAGAAAGTGAAAAGACAAACTACAGAATGGGAAAAACATATGCAAACTATGTATCTGACAAGGGTTTTAATAGCCAGAATACATAAAGAACTCCTACAATTCAGTGACAAAAAGACAAACAGTCCAGTTTTAAAGTGGGCAGAGGCTTGAGCAGGCATGGCTCCGAGGAAGGCGTGCAAATGCCCAACAAGCACGTGAGAAGACAGTGGACATCACTAGTCATCAGGGAGACGCAAATCAGAACCACAACGAAATACCACTTCACACCCACTGGGGTGGCTCTAATAATAACAAAGGTAATAAAAGGAAAATACCCAGTGTTGGCGAGAACTGAAGTAATGGGAACCCTCATGTCGATACACTGCTGATGGGATGTAAAGTGGTACACAGCCGATGTGCAACACAAGTTTGGCAGTCCCTCAGAAAGTCAAAGAATTACCGTATCATTGAGCCAGCAATTTCGTCACAGGTATATACCCAAAATAAAGGAAAGGAGGCTCTCAAACAGATAGTTGTGCACCATGTTCCCAGCACCATTATTCACAACAGCCAATTATGTGCAAACACCTGGTGTCCATCAACAGATGAGTGGATAAGCAAGATGTGGTAGAGATATACAGTGTTAAATTCTTCACCCGTAAAAAGGAATGAAGTTCTGATACATTCTACAGCATGGATAAAAATTAAAATCATTATGCGAAGGGAAATAAGCCAGACACAAAAGAACAATACTGTAGGATTCCACTTATATAAAATACGTAGACTAGGCAAGTTTATAGACAGTTACCAGGGGCTGGGGAAACGACTTATTGCTTAATGAGCACAGTTTGTTTGGTAAGAAAAGTTTGGGGTATAAATTCTGGTCAGAACATAAACAATCCCGAGGCACTGGAGAACCAGAGTCAAACAAAAGGTAGAAAAGAGCTGACTCCTCAGAGAATGGCAGAGATCACTGGGTCAGACCCCATTGTTACGGCTTTTTGTGAGGAAGATTGCAGCTGGTACTGGGTGGTGGCAGAGGAATCAGAGGACAGTGTGGGAAAACCACAGCAGTTGGAAAAAGGGTATTGGAAATTTCAGGGGGAAAAAAGCTACAGGAGGGGAACCCTAAATTGTGCAAGTAAAATCTGCCAAAATCTCTGGCTAACCACTCACCTGGGCGTGGCTCAGGACAGACTTAGGCAGCCCAGCTATGGAAAAAATAACTGACTAGATATTTCAGCTGCTTCATGTCGAAGGGAGCACAAAGTTTGGAATCTAAATTCTGCCAAGCTGACAGCTTAATAAAACAAAAGAAAATCAATGCACTTTGGAAAAACATAGTGGAATAATGTCTCTACAATGTAGTATCTATCATTCACAGTGTCAGGGGGAAATCCATAATTACAAGAAACATGAAGAAATAGTAACTGTGACATGTAATCAAGAGAAAAGGCAATGCATTAAAATTAGCAAAACACAGGATGATGAATATTAACTTATTCTGGTAATCATTTCACAATATATCCATACATAAAATCATTACCTCATACACCTAAAACTAATACATTGTCGTATGTCATTTATATCTCAAATTTTAATAATCTAATGAATCAAATCACATTGATTTGATGAAATGCAAAAAAGAAAACCCACGAGGAATGATCAATGAATAATTTGGGTGGAAAGACAAAAAGAAAAAAGAACCGCCCTCCCATTGCCTATTCCTCTGCCCCGTATACTTTCCACATTACTCTAATGGCAAGATATTCAGGACTCTATTATGAGGTTGTCCCCAAACAGGCCCTGGCAGCAATAAAATAGGAATCTTCCGATTAGGTACCCTGCCATGGAAATGCACCTAGAGGGAGGAAGGAGACTTAGAATAGAAGAATGCAGCACATGAGCTACAGCGTCCTTTGGTTTTAAGCTTTGATCATGCTAGCCTTGAAGAATCAAGTTGCCCCAGAATTCTCCTCAAGTTAGAAGACTTTGATGACTGATCTCCTGAACCAAAAAGAATGCAGTGCTGCCTCAGGTTAAGTAGCAGCTTCAGGTAGTGGAAAGTCATCAAAGACAGAGGCTTTGAGTGTGGTGAGAGCGGGATAGCGGTCTGAATGGTGTCCCCTAGAGGTATCAAGCCCTAATAACTCCTGGAGCCTGTGTATGTTAAAAGATTTGCAGGTGAATTTAAGGATCTTGTGATGAGGAGATTATTCTGGTGTGCACTAAATACCACAATAATGTTCATATAGGAGAGGTCGGGAGAAATGAGACCCACCAGAGGAGAAGGGGATGTGAAGATGGAGACAAAGTTTGGAGCGCTGCGGCCACCAGAAACTGGAAGAACAAGGTACAGGCTCTCCCCAAGAGCCTTCTACACTGTGACCTACACTTCTGGCCTCCAGAACATCAGAGATTAAGTTTCTGTTGTTTTGAGCTACCAAGTTGCTAATTTGTTGCAGCATTTCCAGAAAACTAAAGGGCAGTAAACTACAGAAATATAATTATAGAAATACAATATTAGGGAAGTCTTCTAATAGGAAAAACTAAACTTCATACTTCAGTAACAACTTACATTGTTACCAAAAGGAAAATTAAGTGTGGCTAACTAATTGTTTCTCACTAAAATTTTTGAAAAGGTAGAGGGCCTGTAGTACTGATTTACAAGTAACAGAAGAACTGGAAATATTTGGAAGACTGGTTCTGCCTTCACTGTACTTTCAAATTCTCTATTTATATATTAAACTTGTTTATAGCCTGAATCCAATTGATACCACTAAATTGCTGGTAACAAAATATATAAAGTCATATTCTAACAGATTCTAATGTATGTAAAAGATAAAAATAGTTTATTAAAATTATCTCTACAGAAAAGTATCAACAAACTGACTTTTCTATGGCACAGGCTTTTTTAAAGACTAAAGATGAACTGCATTAGATTTGCTTTAACAGCTTTGGGAATTAATTAAACTAAGGGAATAACATCATCTAATCCAATTTACAGAACACAGTTCCCGACTTATGATTTTTCAACTTTACCATAGTGCATAAGCGATATGCATGTAGTAGAAACCATACTTCAAATTTTGAATTTTTACAGTTTCCAGGGCTAGTGCAGTGCAGTCCAACACTGTCATGATTCTGAGCAGCAGCAGCCACAGCTCCCATCAGCCACACACTCAATGGCAAACAACCAGTGCTCTGTCATGTACTGTGTCACCAGTGCTTTCTGGATACTGTGTTCTGTGTCTTCCCATCCCATCATGTCTACTGTACAAATCACCCATCTGTGTCCCCTGCTTCTGGAGAAAAGAGGAAGGTAATTACTCCAAGAGTAATTGCCCAGCATGAAGGCAGCAAGTCATAATTACATAAATTACATGCTATATTAAACACTTCATTATAAAATAGGCTTTGTGTTAGATGATTTTGCCCAACTGTGGGCTAATGTAAGTGATCTGTGTACATTTAGGCTAGGTGAGGCTACACTATGATGTTCAGTAGGACACCTGTATTAAATGCACTTTCCACATCAGTATCTTCAACTTACACTGGGTTTATTGGGTCAAGGGGCATCTATAATATGTTAAATTTCACTAGGGAAATACAGTCAGCAAAACCCAGACTATAAAACTACAAAAGCAACCTCAGTCTTAGAGCTAATAAAGGACAGGTGAACAACTCCACAGTGCAGAAACCAAGAAGACACTGCCTTAACCAAATGATCAAGGTTAAGATCCCCACTACCAAGTGACATTGATGGCATGCACCCCAATAATCACGCACTGAGAATAGTATATCACCTCAGCATGTTCTTTCAACAACACTCAACCTCAGCCTAATCATAAAAAACATCAGACAAACCTCAATTAAAAGACACTCTACAAAATCACTGACCAGGAGTCTTCAAAAGGTTTAATGTCATGAAAAATACAGAAAGACTAACGAACTGTCCTGTATTAGAGGAAACTAAGGCAACATGACAATCACATGACAGGTGGAATATTGAATCAGGCCCTAGAACAGAAAAAGAACATTAGTGTAAAAAATGGTAAAACTGAATATACTAAAATAGTTAGTAATATTGTACCATGTTAATTTCTTAGTTCTGATAATGGTACTATAATTATGTAAGATGTTAACATGTAGGGAAGATGTACTATTTTTGCCACTCTTCTGTAGGTGTGAAATTAACACAAAGTAAAAAGCTAATTTTTATTATTCCAAAAAGACTTAACAGGCAACTAATTACAATTATATCATTTTTGGGGGGATTCTTAAAAATACTGTTAAAAAAAGACAATCAGGAAATCTTAAGCACTGATTGGATGTTTGATGATACTAAGAAATAGTTAATTTTGGAGATGTAATTAATAACAGTACTGTATTATGGAAATAATTTTAAAGAGTCTCTTTTAGAAATAAATACTGAAATATTTGTGAATAAAAGTATAAGTTTGCTATTTGCTTAAAAAGAACTCAGAGGCGAGGGGAGATGCAGCCGGGGGCACAGATGAAACAAGACTGACTGTGAATTGATACATGCTGGAACCGAGTGATGGGTACGTGATCGTTCACTACGTTCTCTCTACATCTGTGTATGTTTGAACTTTTTTCCATTAACTAAAATATACACACACCTATATAAAACATGTAATTTAAAAAATAAAACTAGGGACTTCCAGCCAAGATGGAAGTGTAGGTAGACACACTGTGCCTTCTCCCACAACCAAAATAAGGACAACAATTTAGAAACAAAAAAACCCAATACTGACAGAAAATTGAACTGTATGGAAGCCTGACAACCAAGGAGTTAATATAGAAACATTCATCCAGACAGGTAGGAGGGGCAGAGTCAGTTAGCCAGGTGGAGAGGGGTCGTGGCAAAGCGGTGGCTGGCAGACCCCCGACAGGCAAGGCAGCAGCAGTTGGACCCAGAGAGGCGGCTGACTGTGGGTGGGCATGGCAAGCAAGGTGGCTGGCAGACTGGGTGGTCCCACATTTGCATGCAGATAAACCAGGCAAGACTGGGGAGCGAGACAGACCACGCAACCCAGAGTTCCAACATGGGGAAATAAAGCCTCAAAACACAGACTGAAAATATTTGTGGGCGTTGAGGTGCTGAGAGAGACTCCCAGCCTCACAGGAGAGTTCATTGGAGAGACCCCCAGGGTCCTAGAAGATACACAAGCCCACCCACATGGAAGTCAGCACCAGAAGGGCCCAGTTTGCTTGGGGGGAGTGGCGGAAGGGACTGAAATCAGAGAGAGAGCAGAACAAGCATCACTGCTCCCTCTTGGACCACTCTCCCACATATAGCTTCACAACCCAGCCATTGGATTGCCTTGCCCTGGTGAACACCTAAGGCTCTGCCCCGCACTACGTAACAGGCACATCAAGACAAAAAAAAATGGCCCAAATGAAAGAACAGATCAAAGCACCAGAACAAATACAACTAAGTGATGAAGAGATAGCCAATCTATCAAATGCACAGTTCAAAACACTGGTAATCAGGATGCTCACAGAATTGGTTGAATTTGGTCACAAATAAGATGAAAAAATGAAGGCCACACTAAGTGAAATAAAGGAAAATGTACAGGGAACCAATAGTGATAGGAAGGAAACTGGGACTCAAATCAACGGTGTGGACCAGAAGGAAGAAAGAAACATCCAATCAGAAAAGAATGGAGAAATAATTCAAAAAAAAATGAGGAGAGGTTTAGGAACCTCCAGGACATCTTTAAACATTCTAGTATCCAAGTGGATATTCCAATATTCCAAGTGGAAAAGTTATTTGAACAAATAATAAAGAAGAACTTGCCCATTCTGGCAAAGGAAATAGACTTCCAGGAAGTCCAGGAAGCTCAGAGAGTCCCAAAGAAGTTGGACCCAAGGAGGAACACACCAAGGCACATCATAATTACATTACCTAAGATAAAAGATAAGGAGAGAATCTTAAAAGCAGCCAGAGAAAAGGAGACAGTTACCTACAAAGAGTTCCCATAAGACTGTCAGCTGATTTCTCAAAAGAGACCTTACAGGCAAGAAGGGGCTGAAAAGAAGTATTCCAAGTCATGAAAGGCAAGGACCTACATTCTAGATTGCTTTATCCAGCAAAGCTTTCATTTAGCATGGAAGGGCAGATCAAGTGCTTCCCAGATAAGGTCAAGTTAAAGGAGTTCATCATCACCAAGCCCTTATTATATGAAATGTTAAAGGGAATTATTTAAGAAAAAGAAGATAAAAAACATGAACAGTAAAATGACAGTAAACTCACAGTTATTAACAACCACACCTAAAGCAAAAACAAAAACAAACTAAGCAAACAACTAGAACAGGAGCAGAACCACAGAAATGGAGATCACATGGAGGGTTAGCAACAGGGCAATTGGAGGAGGAGAGAGGGGGAAAAGATATAGAGAATGAGTAGGATAGACAATAGGTAGAAAATAGACAGGGGGAGGCTAAGAATAGTATGGGAAATGTAGAAGCTAAAGAACTTATGACACATGGACATGAACTAAAGGGGGGAATGTGGATGGGAGAGGGTGTGCAGGGTGGGGGGAATGAAGGGGGGAAATGGGACAACTGTAATAGCATAATCAATAAAATATATTTAAAAAATAATAAAATTAGAAGCAAAGTCAAATAAACAGAATTAACTATGTACAAAACCATTCAACTAAAACCACTGGGTTGGCCAAAAAGCCTGCATGTTTTTTTCCATAAAATGAGACTCATTTTCCGGGAAATGAAGACTCACCAATAACTTTATTGATTTGGATACTTTGAGTATGTCCGCTATCTCCCACTATTGGCTTCTAGTGAGAGAGGTCAGGGGTGCTGCTAAACGTCTTCCAATGCATAAGACAGCCCCACAGCAAAGAATTATTTGGCTGAAATGTTAATAGTACAAGACACTTTGCAAAACACTTTTGACATGTTCAATTAGTCACAGCACCTTCTCCATACACTGCACAGTTTTTTTTGTTTCAGTTGTGTTTTTACCTTTCTTGAAATAATAATGCATAATACACTGAAAATGTTGCATATTTTCTTCCATCTTCAATATTAAAATGGCTGCACCAAAATTCACCAATTTTGATATTTTTAATGCATGCTGATATGACAGCTGTCAATAAAATCTAACAAAATTGTTTCAAATGAAGTTAAAGACAACTAAACACTACTAGAGCCATCATACAGAAAAAAACTAAAACTTTTTAGCCAACCCAATACTTCAATCACTTCTAAATTTCAGCTATGAATTCTGAATTTAACTGATCTACAAAACTTCCCAGGCACTGAAAAGCGACCTTTTGCCTGGTCTAACCACAAGCCTGTAACTCT